AAAAAAAAAAAAAAATGCCCATCATGATTATTTATACTTTAAATAATCAGAAAATGCAGCAGTATCAAGGGAGTGTTTCTTAAAAATCTATGAGGGTTTGTTTGTATTGTAGACAAAGTTAGATTACACAACTCATCACCTGAAATTCTTGGGGGGCTTTATGTATGTGTAGCTGTGTAATTCTAAGATTTGTGGTAGAACTAAGCCTATTTAAATTGTTCTGATGTTCTGAAACCTGTTTAGATGTTTGTGCTGTAAATGAATTATACCCTAAGATACTGTGTTCTTTATCATTATTCCCTTTGATTGCAGGAATAATATGTCCTAATGCAACCTAGTATTGGTCATAGAACCCCACCTATTAATTTTCACTTAGCTTCAGTAAAAACACTGAGGAGTAAATAAGCCTTTGGTAGGAAGTTAGTATACTGAAATCATTTAAAATGTCGTGGCAAATGGATATTTCGGATGCAAAATATTTCAGGATCCTGGGGCAACAAATGTGCTGTAGATGTTATGTTCATGAGGAGTCAATGAACCTGTTTTGCCCATGAAAATGAAAACAGAATTTTTATCGTGTCCTAGCAGGCTAGTTTTGGGTGTCCATTTTTTCAAATCCAGTGTTTTGTGAGCGAGCAAAAAATAAGCAAAACGATGTTAATAAAGTTGAAACAGATTCAGAAACAGCCCATCTGTAAGCAACTGTCTTCCCCTTCAAGTGCCCGGCACCTAGCAGTAGCAGCGCAAAATATAATTCATAATTTCTGTGAGTTTTGCTCAGACAGGAAACAGCCTGTTACATTTTCTGATGCTTCTCTTGATTTGTTTCCTCGTAAACTATCAGCAAAGCCGGATTGAAGACCGCTTGGAAAGACTGGATGACGCTATTCATGTTCTCCGGAACCATGCAGTGGGGGCTTCAACTGCCATGCCTGGTAGTCATGGTGACCTCCATGGCTTAATAGGCCCTTCTCATAATGGAGCAATGGGAGGCCTCGGATCAGGATACGGGACAGGTCTTCTTTCAGCCAATAGACATTCACTAATGGTAAGCTATAAAGATTCAACACTACAGATTTCTTTAAAAATATAATGTGAATAATGGCATAATTAGGATTTTTAAACTGTTTTTACTAAGCTTTTCGCTCCGGTACAGTTTAGCGTTGCCGAAATGAAAGGCCGTGTAGTACTTATGGCGAAGTAAGCTACTTTTAATATTTCTGTTGCATAAGCAATAATTACTCTTCTGCAATATATGTTAAAATGCATCTCTTGGTTTCTTTTGTATAGATTTTTTTTTTAATTTATAGAATTTAGCATGCTTAGAATATGTTCAGCCCATGCTTTTAAAGCAGTGTTGTCCAAACTTGGCCACTTTAAGATGAGTGGACTTCAACTCCCAGAATTCCCCAGCCAGCATG